CAATCTACAGTTCATAAGTTTGCTGATCACCGATGCATACACGATCTAAGCGCATGCGTGCTCACGCACGCGATGAGCGCGGTCTTATGATTATGAATATACAGCAGGTGAGAGAGAACGAGAGAGAATGGTCCAGGTGGGAGCGTGGGGGAGCGGATCGAGTTGTCCAACCAGCGGGATGGTAGCCGCGGACTGCCCACCGCGGCCCATTGGCCGGGTTCGCGAGCCCGCTATCGTATTATCGCCGAGACGTTGCCGTTACGATACATCGGCGGCCGACCGATCTATCGCTCGTTCTCGGATCTGTCTGCGTGCCACGCACCTGCGATCGATCGCGCGCGACTATCCGCCGCTCGATCGCGTCGCTCGCGGAGACGAAGTAACGCGTGAAGGCGCGCGCGGAGCGGGTACTTATTAATGCGAAACGCGTGACGCCCACCTCGTATGAAAATCGAAATGGTCCGTGGCGTAATTGGTAATTATGGTAATCCTCGGGGGGTAATTTCATGGAAAGTTCGTAAAAATTTAACGGAACTCGTGCAGAGATCGATAGATTAACGGTGAGGAAAAATCACGAAACTATAATGATAAACTGCGCAATCATCGGCTAGATAAGCAATGTATCTGAAATATTATTAATCTGAAAATATAGAGTTAAACAAAACATAGCTGTGGGCAAAGGCTTTTCCACAAAAAAATTGCTTCAACGCGCTCAATTTGTGTAACGATTAGCCTTTTCATATCAAATGCTATTTTCCTCTTTGTAAATATGTTACAAACGATCAATCGACTAATATATCTTAAAATACATTCAATTATACCGATCTTATAGAGATCTCTATATAATTCTAATATATACAAAATAATTATTATGCCTCGGCCTAGAACTTGCACTTCTTCCCTCTTCAGAAAATAAAACGTATATGCAACAGTTAGCTACTCTTGATAGTTGAACGAAAACGTTATCGTGACTCATACAATAAATCTTAAATTAAGTTGATACCACAGAAGCTGAAAAGTACTATCTGATAATTTCACGACCCAGGGTATTGTTCTTCCACATTACCTACACGAAAATCAGCATATATCGCGTTCAGCACTTCGAAGAAGTGCACGAGTCGTCCAGGGACATACGATTGCTGTGTAGGAACGTGGATACATCCAACTCCGTATATATCCTGAGAGGGAAGAAACGCAGGCAACGGCTGCCGGAGGACGACGAGGGCGACGGAAGACGAGGAGGACGAGGGGGCTCCTGCCGACTTACAAATTATACGCTCTCAACGAGATTTACGGGTGACGCTTTGAGCGAGACCATTGTCCATCCTCGCTCACTTCTTTACCTCTTTACTCCTCCACTTGGTCGTCTTTGTCCCTTCGTGAATCGCCCGTCCTCTTTCGGTTCCTCCGCAAGTCCCTTCGTTCCCAGAGGACCGCATGAGAAGGACGAAAGGACGCAGCAGCGCGCGTGTAGAAGGGAACGAGAGGAAGATAGAGCAGTATTCGTCGCGAAAAAACCGAGGAATGCCGATCGACGAAAGGGAATCCGGTTCCAATCGGATAATCGGAGCTCCGGGTCCTCGCGGGCCCTACCGAGGATTCGCGAGAAGGACGTAATGCGCGACTCGATGACGAACGGTCGTACGAGCGACTGATTTATGATACCCGCAATATTTTTGGAGCAGGGATTACATTCCGCGGGAATAAGGATCGCAGAAATGACGTTTCGTCGATTCTGTAGAAATATATTTATGCGGATACCCGTCATTTAATTTAAAGAATTTAGAGAATTTAAGTTAATGCGCTTAATAGTACGCCAATAAATTCATACCAAGGCCAATGCGTGCTAATTGATAAATACCCACTCTGAAATGAAATGACAAAAAATTTATACACTGTACACTCGCAATACTCATTATCGCAATAAGCACATAATATTCAATAAGTTATTTTTAATAATGTCGAAATATCATGACACACAGAGAAATAAACCCCTCAACTCGTAGATATAATCTTATAAGCCCAGTGTGCAATATATTGCTCTAATAGATTTATAGATTGAATTTTGTAGCGGTAGTATGCGTCGCGATAACTACTGAAGTGGATAAAACGGTGCGACACGTGTCTTCATGCGCGATATTAGCCGCAGATTAACTCGCAGATGATGAACGAAGCACGCAGAAAGAAAGAGCGGAGAGTTTCCAGTCTGACCGTTAAGTACCTGTTATCGAAACACAAACCGTCATCCTCCTAATATATTTATCAAACATGCCGTGAACGACGGCTGCGACAGGTAAGCGAGCCAGAAAGCAACAAGGTGCGGACTCGCAGTATCGTCAGGATACAGAAATCCGCCTTAAATCGGAAACAAATATTTAACCAGTCTCAAGAGGGGCTTTATCCTCATTCCTGCAAGTAAGCTTTCCTCGTTCCGTTATAAATGTATACTCACAAAAATATTTCATTTATAATTATAAAGAAAATCTATTTTACTAGAATATGTATATATTATATATAAAATATGATTAATTTAAATAATCGCTCTTAACTCTTTGGTGTCACCTTCGTTTTCTCACGTATCTGCCAGAGTAGGTAAGAATTGTGAAAAATATTGCGTAAAAATAAATGTATTTTATATTATAATATCTTTTTTCAATCAAAATACCAAATATCAAGTAATATATCGATAACAAGTAACTGTAGGTATGTATCTTCATTAATAAACTGGTTGTAGCATAGCAAAGTAAAAGAAAGTATATTCGAGTATAATATATACTAGGAGTGGCACCAAAGTTAATTGAGTAATAATTAATTTTATAATGGATTCCAGTATATAATTGAATTAATTTCATCTTGATATATGCATAAAGTTCACGCTACGCTAGATAGATACGATACAGCGTCCGTCTCCGGATGCTGTAATCCCGAGTGACACGGGCACGATAACGTTCTATCACCATGCAAACATTTACATAACAAAGTGAAGTACACAGCAAAATGTCAGGCTACCGAGTAATTTATTATTACTCGTCGAGATAATTAGGATTCAACCGTAGCTACTGAATGTATCACGTGAATCGCTTTACGATAATTATTACATTCGATTTTAATATTTCCCCTATTCAGTACCTATTACTCTCTCTAATATAGTATTATATTTCTTCTATCAACCGACGTAATCAGTGCAGTTTAAAATAAATTAAAATAGAATAGCTTAATAAGTAATGAAAATAAGTTTTCTTGCACCGAGGAAAACTTCTGGTTGAAAACGGAGAGCGATTCTGATTAGGTATATCAATCAAAATTTCTAGTTGTAGAAATAACCAGGTGTTCAATTATGAAATATGACCGGAATTCTGATTGATGTAGTCAGAATTTACTGGTTCGTTCCTTTTCCAGAAATTGTTCTCGATGTAAAGTAAAAAATAAAGAGATATTTAGAGAAGCGTTTTGCGTCGTCAATAATGAGCGATTTACGTAGTACAAAATGAAGTCATAAATCTCTCTCTCTCTCTCTCTCTCTCTCTCTCATAACGGAGTTTGCTTATAAGAGCACGGATAACTACCAAAGGAGGATTTATAGCGCCATTACTCATCTTACGTGCGTGTAACGCGCGACGTAATTGATAACCCAGATGACGCACCTCGAAACTGGAGCACTCGTTAGTTCTTCACGTTCACCAAGTATTGGCGTTAAAATGCAATCAAAGCGACAATCTCATACCCATGTAAGCGTAATATCATAGCAGCGCTTGTGTCATGGTTAGATACAAGTACACGATCGAGAATACAGTAATCAGTATTAGCGTTAAATACAAGAGCGATAATTTGTTAAAAAAGATCGTCAAAATACGAAAGCTTAGTTACGTGTAATAAACAAATATTTATACCTTAAAAGTATAAGCGATTAAGTGGAGTAAAGAGAAGAAAATTATGACGAATAATCTATGATAATACTAATGAAATGGTAAAAAAAAATTCACGCTTATGTTTGCTCGTTAATAAATAAGATTGAAGTTATGGTAAAAAATATTTGCTCTATATTCCCATTTTCTTATCTAAACATGGGATAGACTATTATGTTGTATATATAACTTATGTCTTTTTAACCCTCGTTTTTATGGCCATCACGTGTAACGGCGTCAAGGACATGACAGGCTCTTCTCTCTTTATCTCATTTTTGGGAGACTTCGACGAGGGAAGCAAAAACGCGTTTGTTATTCCTATCGCGAAGACAACCTTCACTGCTGGTTAAGATATAATCATTAAGATAATTACATTAAAAATATTACAGTGAGAAACATTTTGAACTCTTAAATCCTACAGAAGCTTGCTAAAGTCTATTTACTAGATGTGGTAAAATTCTGATTCGTGTACCATGTGTGTGTGTGTGTGTGTGTGTGTGTGTGTGTGTGTGTGTAACATATAACTTGTCTGCGTGTGTTGTGTAACATATAACTTGTATTTAAATATGATTTTTCACATTAATTAAAGATATTACTTATAATCTTCAAATAAACAAGTAGAACATTCTCTCTCTTCCTCTCCTCTCCTTCCCTTTCCCTCCCTCTGTCACATTTAAATGCAACTTCTATATGATATACAATATTTATATCCACTGCTACGACAACGATTACTTTTTTAAGAAAAAGAATAATTGAAAAGGCAGTAAGGAAATAGAAACTTTGAAGCAAAGGTTATGGCAAAGAAAACTCAAACAGTAAGACGTAAGCAAGCAAACCAACATTTTAGATTTGCTACTTACTTATGTTATTGCTTTAAGAACGTTTCTACTGTGATTGGCTTATTCACTTATTATAATAATTATGTCTTACTGATTTACGGTTTTTTTTTTGTGTGTATATTTATCTTTTCTATATAATCTATATAGGTCTCGCTATTAATTTCATATAAATCCAATGTGAACAATCTTGTTAAAATTTAGCAACGCGTTTTTCACAGCAAAACAGATCATATCACGGAGGAAAATTGTCACTCACCAGAAAGAGCCGGTGATGGGGGTGACGAGGAGGAGGCAGATCGCCACGAGAACGGGGCGCATCTCCATCCCCTTCGCCCTCGAATAACACCCTCGAATCGATCACCAATTACGTTTCCTTTGTCCACTCTGCGCACTGACGGTCGATGAAATAGCCAGGTTGCGACGGTGGTATTCGTGAGCGCACCGGTGTCTGGCTGCAAAGTCGACCGCGAACCGCCGCGAGTTCACCAGCACGTATTCTTCAGTTCCAAATGCACCTCGTGGCCAAAGATTGGCACGCAAACTGTACGCACTGTCCCCTCTACCGCGCAACTCCCTTATCGTGTGGTCCAGCAAAACTCGACATTGCAACGTAGATCATCGCACACAAAATACTGCTGATTCTTTTTGGAACCCTCATTTATTCAGATTATTTCTGTGATAGAGTATGTTTTTTCAGGATCGATACTGAAACGTTGAAGAACGATGATCATTGTTTGCGGATTTACTTGCAAAATCGTTCGTCCTTGATCATTTGTCGAAGAATTATTCTTGATGTTGCGTTTCATGTTTTGCAAAGCGAAGATGCCGAGATTACGCAGCCATGACGATCGCGGTAAACACTTGATCTTCATGATCGGATCGCACTGAAAATGCTTGAGGGCGATCGGAGTTATCCTTCGTTGGAAGAGACATGTCTTTGAGACCGCGAAAAAGAAGGTCGCGATTCAAGAGAGACCCGGAAGAGGAGCACTGACTTCCGGTCCCTTGGACCACTTGCTCCCCTCTTTTTCCCCCTCCCCAGTCACTCTCTATCCTTCTCATGCACCCGCTGGCTCCCTCTTCCTTCTCCTCTCTATCTGTCAAGGTACCTTATGTTTCTCTTCTTTCTCCTCTCTTTCTTTACTTCCGTCTGCTCTTTTTCTTTCCAAAAGTGTCAACTGTGTAAGATACAGATGAAGCGTAGTAAAGTTCTCTTTTCTTGATACGTGGGCAAAAACGCGTCGCGTTCCTGCCAGAACTACGTCACCACAATCTTTGAGTGTTGCCTTATCCCCACCAATAAAATTCTGGGGAGTAGAGAAGAGCTGCCCCCACCAATATACTCCGTTTTCTTCTTCCTCTTCTTCTTCTTCCTCTTCTTCACCAGCACCAGCACCACCACCACAACAACCATCACCATCGCCGTCGTCGCGAGACCATCGCCACCGACGTCCGCGATGGGTGCATCTTCGATTTCGCCGTCGCGAAAAACGTGATCTTCGGGAAGGTGACCATCCCCCACGAAGATACTGAAGATTCTTCGAGTAGATTAACGGATCGATCAGAAAGAGTAGATTCGCGAATTTCGTGTAACACGTGCAAAATTATAAGCGAGAACGAGAACGAGAGGGAACCGACAGAAAGACAGAAATAACGGAAACAAGAGGGGGAAAGAGGGTGGAAAACCTGTGAGAAAGTCTAGCGTAAGTGGAAAAATCTCCAGATGGTAGGGGAGACAGCGAGGTTCAGCCGTCTGCGATCGCTGGCGAGGCTCCTGGCCGGAGCGAACCGTACGAGACTGTTGCGGACTAGGCAGGTGAGCGCCGCTCGGCGGCAACGAGACGCAACCGAGCCCCTCTTTTCCTCTTTTAACTCGCCTACGGAACCCGTCGACACGAGGAGGCCCGGTCGTCGGATCCTCTCTGCTCGCGCCGCGCTGCCTAGGATCCCACGGAGGGAGGCGCGATCACGTCTCGGACTCGAACGCGCGATGTCAAGGTGATAGACGCGATGCTGCGCGATGAATAATAGCGGTCAGAAATCATTAACAGGTCGCAATGAGATAGCACGGTCTTTAGGACTTTAAAAAATGATGCACTGTGTTTGCTGCGCGTATAACATATTTTTATCGCATGATAAAGTATGTCGAATCTAAAGATTGAAACTTCTAGAAAAAGAGCTTTATATTATGAATTTGGGTGAAGTGAAATATGTTGAGTTGGAATCACAGTCCTAAAATTGAATTCAAATGTATCAAAACACCTCGATCTGACTTGACAATAGGTCAAAATATGTAACGTAATTTTTTTGTATATTATTTTTGTATCTTTGATATATTGAAGTCTATTCTACAATTGCAGTTATAAGAATTGACCAATCACGGTCGAATTTGAGAAGAATATTCGACTGTGACTGATCAATTTTTACAACTACAATCTATACTTATGCAATTGTAAAATAGGTATTACACATCATAGTTTCCGTGCTTTTTTTATCCTTCTCTATTAAGTATTTTAATTGTGTTGAAAGTTCTTATTACTTCTTATTAAAATATCTCAGCTATTGATACAGCCTAAATGTTGGCGATTACGTTTTTTTTAGAAATGTAGTAACCCACACTTTACCCAAGAGACATTCTGAGAATATCTTTAGAATATATTCTTTGTGAGACTGTGATCTGTATGGGAATATTTTGCACAAAAAATTATTTTATAATATTTATTTGCACTAATAAACTAAGAAATATGGAATTTTATCATATTTCCCTAAGCTAATCGTAACAAAATTCAAGCGGGAAAATTGCTACTATGATTTTCCTACCTCGAAAAAAATTAAGAACTTTATTGAAAGATTATCCGGAGATCTCGATTTGATGCTCAAATATACCTCTTATCCCTCTACTACCCTATCCACTCATTTTCGTAATAAGAAGTTTGTTGTGTCCTGTCAAGTGAATTTCACCCGACTATCCCATCTTCTCATCGCTCTTTACCAATAGTAACGCGACAAAGAAACTCTTTTACCGGATGATGAGTTTTCAGGTTGAGAAGCGCCACAAGAAAAGCAGGTATCGGTGATGATCCTGACATTTTCCGTGTCGCCTTCACGAGATACACGGGTGCGGCTCATGTGTGCAACTCGACGCGAGAGATCCGATCTCCCCTCGTGGCCCTACCAATACGAATGCGAAGCAAGTAAGAACTAATAACGGGGCCCCAGTAAGTCCCATTCTGATGCTTTGTGAAGGCGAGCTCTCCGCTCGGTAGCCGTCTCATGCCTCGTCTCCCTTCGTCCCGCCACCTCGTCACGACTGGTCCTTTCGCGTCTCTCCCTCGCTTCTTCCTCCTTTCGACCAGCGTCCTGCTCCTACCTTGCCTCCTCCCACCATATCATGGCTTCGGTACACGCTGTGGGCACCATCGTAGAGGGCTATTGAGGGCTTAAGCTGTCGGCGTGTGGCTCGCTACATCCTTTTCATCTCCGCCGCCACGACAAAGCCGCGAGTGCTCGCGGCCGCAGCCTTTACCAGTTCCCGAGTAGTTCGTCGTTTCAGAGAGTGTATATCGGAGTGCTCCGAATTCTATTACACCAGAACGACCTAGTAATAGATGCAGCTTCTGCCACTAACAGCGTTCTATTTCGGTAGCAGCGTTTAGCCTTTTAACAGTCGTCATTACGTGGAACGTACAGTAATTATAGTCCTGAAGAATACATTTACAGTCGTGCCATACATGACGATATTTAACAATCTATACAGCTAGTCTTTGCGTCTGCGCAACAATAGTTACATCCAGCTAATAGATCAATTAAATTGGAGAATTTCGCTGATTTAAATCCCGCGGATCCTCATTTATAATAAAAATACGTGATCTTTAAAAAATAAATAATAATTGACTTTAAGAAACTCGTGCATGTAATAAAATCAAAAAAAGCTTAATTATAATTAAGAGCCCTTAATTAATCATTTCCGATTAATTAAGGGCTCTTCTATCGACTATACAGATTATAGCATTGATCGGAACGATTGGTCTAATTGTTGGATCCGCTCAATGGAGTTTGTTCATGAAGTCGCGGGTCAATTACTTCGTTAACCGAATAGTTTTACGAGCAACAGTTCTAGATGTCACGATCATTTCCCGTTATTTCTCAGAATAATAGTTGAAACAACAAACTGCAAATTAGTTCGTTCAAACAGACGATAACGGTGTTTTCGCAGAAGAAAATGCATCGCTGATAATGAGAATTAAAATAGATTATACTACATTAAAAGTACAGCTATATTATTAAATATATAACGATAGTATTTGTATTTTAAATGTAATATTAGTGTGTGAATATATATATATAACTCTCTTTCTAATATTATATTTAAAATATATTATATGTATAGGAATAACAAATATTGCTCAAATAAATCATAAAACAACTTTGCATAAAATAAATTATCTTTCTAACCTTCATAAATATTATTAATGTCGATGAACAATTATATCTTTCAGAAAAATCTTCATTCAAATAAATTTCTTGAAGAAAATTAATGTTGCTATAGCGCTGTAATTCTTTTCTTTGCCTATCTCTGTAAGGATTTCTGTTTCTGAGCACACAATCTCCAGGAATGAGGCAGTCATTGATGGGATCTCAGTGATAGAGACGAAGGCGATAATAGCGGCGATGAAAGAGGGAAAAAATAAAGGACGGCCGAGAAGCAAAAATATTGCAGGAAGAGTCGACAGCAGAAGAAGTCGTCTCGTGTGGTCATATCATAACCTGCGGGCCAAGCAGTGTGAGTGGTTTTAAGCAGCGATGAAAGAGAGGGGGAATATCTCAGAGTATGGTTCAAGAAGGGCAAGACGGGGAAAGGAGAAGTTCAGCGGGGGTCCGTATTACAGCTCATTTAGCAGCGGGGTCCTGTGCCCCTTTCTTCGGCGCCCTGAGAGATCCACTTGGTCCAGAACAGGTCCGTGGACCTACGGCAAAGATGAGCCCGTTTCGTTCCCATAGAATCGGACCTCCTGGCACTTATAACCTTCTACCGCTAAGTAGCACATCTCTTCATATTTAGATACTTCATTCGGACACGATGTCGTACAGAAGATACGATATCTAACTCATCAAGCTACAGACAATTCTACATAATCCTGGCAATCCTGCATTATGTAAACCCGTTTCTCGAAAAAAACCACTCATATTTAACTAATTCTCAAGCTAATACCGTAAAGATATACCGTTGTAAGATATACCGAAAAAGGAGTCAATATAAATAAATAAAAAAAAAAGTACGCGTATAAATATTGGCAGAACGTAACGATCAGTTCTTACTCGCG